GATAATATATTATGTTGTTAAAACGGAGATGCATATGCTATAGTTTACAAATCTGTTGTGCATTGGTATTAGATAAACACATCTGTAACTTGATGTTATAAAATGTAGGTCCATGTATAGCATGACGAGTAAAGGTTATGATTATGTAGTGTAAGTTTATTAGTTCCCTTTTCCTTAACAGGAAAAAGCAATATCTTTGGGCCATTCGATGATTTGATTTTGACTTTAATGTGCAAGGCCTTGTCCGGATTAAATTGATGTGTTCAATTTGTAGTCTGATTTTAGTCATCATAAATTGGAAATCATGAAACAGAATCTTGGACTATGAGATTGATATGTATACATGTCTCGTGTCCATACGATTCTTGTATAACAAAGGAATAATTGATCACTTATCTTAGGGCCATATGTCTGATTTGAATCAAAGTTCGGCAGTGGTTGTGGAAAGCACACTTTGTTGGTTATTCGAAGTCTATATTAGCAATTGTAGTTGATGACTTGTCTAAGTGAGAGATTATTGGAATAGGTGTCCAAGGTCATATCTAAATTTATCAAGGTAAAAACTAAATTGATATAACTTTACGGAATAAAAGTAAAGTCTTTTTTGGGTTGCCCTCGATAACTATAAATAACTAGCAATGAACTTAGGAGAGAGATAAAATGATTTGTTAATTTATTATATGATTAATAAATTAATTAGAAATAGGTGGAATTAATTAAATAATAATCAGAATTAATCTAGAATTAATTCGGGATTAATTGGAATTATATAAAGATGCAAGGGCTAAAATGTAATTGTTCAACTTTGAACAAAAGAAGCAATTCTAAAAGCTTCATGGTTATGGACGGTTTTATGAAGCCTTTTAGGGTTTCTGGAATCTTCCTATAACTGATAAGTATAATTGACTTGAATATATAAAATCTGATTATTTTGTTATTCAAATAAGGGATTACCCTTGTGATCCCCTAGTTATAAATAGTACCCCTTGTCTCTTAAATTTTGTGACTTTTACTTCTCATAAGGTGGAGGATGAATTTCTATTCATTTCCCCTCTCCCCTCTTGATTTCTAGGGTTTTGGGTGTGAGCCATTAGACGCAGTAATATTTTTATAGCTAGCTTTCTGAAGCAGGTCTGAAGATTCAAGAGTGCTACATACGACTGTAACACTAAAGGTATGTAATCCAATCTATCAATTTCGATCTAGGCTAGGGCTTATGCTCGTTTCAATAGTATGTTCTTATAATGAGAAAAGACATTGTTTTCTAGATTGCATGTGCCCATAAATAGATTTTATGATGTTTCCGTTGTGTAATTAGTTTGAATGTAACATAGAAAACCCATTATGTTCGCCACAGCGCGGTGGTATGCGTACCCACGTCTTTTTTGTCCTCTAATGACCATGACGCGACCAAATGGATTAGCTGTGGCGCTACAGTTGACAGTTGGTTGACCATTGATAGTTGACTTTTTGTCTAGTTTTACTATTAGTCAAACTTTGGTAGAATTGAGTATTTGAATAAGGACTAGTCTTGGTTTGGCATTAGGTTGCTAGGGTTAGTTGCTATGTAGATGAGGTTGTTGTTAAGCTCCTGTTCTTTAGCTCAGGTGAGTCTTTTACTCTTCTCACTATACTATGTAGTATGTTAGATTGTCTTTGAGACTTTTGCACGAAATACTACGGGATGACCATATCAATTGTATGAAAGACTATGAGAGGACCATAACAGTTGTATGAAAGACTTTGGGAGGACCATAACAGTTGTATGAAAGACTATCGGAGGACCATAACAGGAAAGACTACATGAGGACTAAAACAACATAAGTGATTGTAAGACTGTGGAAGGACCATAACATTCACATGGGTTGAAACAGACCCGTTAGCTGAAATAGACCGTATTGTTATGTATGTTGTATCTTGGTGAACTAACTAAGTTTTATGCTTACGATTTTAAGTTTAAATTGTTTTAGGTTTTCTTGTACTAAAGGAAGGGCGAGAATTGATTGTATCGTACCATTGGAGATTTCCGCACTTAATAACTATTAAGTTTTTACACTGATTGTTGTTTTAAAACGAATTACTTTAATCAAATATTTGAAGTTGTAATTGAAACAAATGTTTTTTAAATTAAATGAAAAAATTTCTTTGAAATTTAGGATGTTACATCATTAAATCTCTTAAGTTTGGTCAATGTTCAGTTTTAATAGGTATACATTTTTAGAAAAATGTAAAATTTGAGAGAGAGAGAGAGAGAGAGAGAGAGAGAGAGAGAGAGAGAGAGAGAGAGAGAGAGAGAGAGAGAGAGAGAGAGAGAGAGAGAGAGAGAGAGAGAGAGAGAGAGAGAGATTTCGATTTTAATGAACCAAAAATAGACCAAAAGGGTAAATTCATACATGTCAAACTTAAAAGTTTTTATGACATTTTTCCTTATTTTTCATAATGGCTATTATTATTAAATATATAACAATGTTCATGCCACCTTTCTTCATACTTGCAATTCCTACAACCTGCAACCACGTCTCCTTCATGCGACCACCAACCCTTTTCGTTCCCCTATAACCAAAGAATTAATGTCTAAACTCAAATTTTTATTAAACTTCGTTGTAATTTTATAATAATATAAGCTCTAAAATTATGATGCGAACTTTTAGAAAGAATTGTACTCTAAAGTTTAAACGTCAATGTATTGTTATTTGGTTTACTATTAATTTAAATGAAAACGTAAACAAAAGCACCAAAAGCAACATGTATATAACAAATCAATAAACATCTCCATCTAGAGACAAAATCTACGATGAACTGAATATTCCTTATGGTTTCGATGGTCATTTCCATGTAATTAAAACTTGTTTCTATAAGTCGTTTGAAATCGTCTTCAGAAAATATTTGAATTGGTTTATGTTTCTTGCTAGAAAAAGTTTTGACTTGTTTGAGTTGAGATGGTCTTTCAAGTTATTTAAATCAATAATAATTAACAAACAACTTACAATATGTTATAAGAAACAAGTTTCAAAACAATCTTCACGCCCTATAAATACACTAACACAACAACCAATTTCATTGTATAAGTTCTCCAAAAACATGACCACGCAAACTCTTTATATCTCCATCTGCATGTTAATGAATACAGTCCAATCTCACATAGTTTTTGTTCTCTGGAACTTGAAATGGGCATGGAGTTTCCTTCTACACCTTTGCTTTTTTCAAAATCAACCACATCAGATCTCACAAAGACACCAATCGAGCCAAATGACGTTTGACCGAGGGTCAATGGAACAAGTGGAATGTGTTATTTGCTTAAATATAGTAGGAGAAGACGACGAAATCAGAGAGCTGAGATGTGGTCATGTATTCCACAACGTTTGTTTGGAGAGGTGGCTAGGCTTTAGAAACAGAACGTGTCCACTGTGTCGAGAGAGTATATGATTGTGTAGGGTTGTTTCAGAGCATGGGCATGAACTCTTGCTTTTCGATTTTTGTTCCATTGGTTATTCTACAGATGAAGGGTCGTGGTGGATTCGATAAAAACTTTAATGGGTCAATAACTTATTATGAAGATTCTACTATTGATTTAGTTAAAATAATAAGATGAGAAACCATGAATGCATGCTTATTATTTATTTGAAAAGTTAATACATACACAACATATCGGCATACAAAACAATTTAGGTTTTATATAATTGTACTATACTAACATTTTAAAAACTAAACTTTTGTGTTTGGAAAAAAACTATTATGCGTATACGACTCAGCAACAAATCATATTTATGTTATATCACTATCAAAGTCACAAAAAGCTTTAGGCAATGATTATGGATTAACTAAACGGATAGCCGCGTGTTGACATGAGTAAATTGTATGATACTAAATAGATTGCAAAAATCTAGATCTATCACTTCATGAAGAAGTAATAATAGTTTTCTTAATAAAACATAAGTTAACTTTTTTTAGTACTAGGGGTGTTCCAAATTACCGGAATCCGTAAATATCATCGGAAAATATAATCCAAAATTATCTGAAATTCTAATATATATATATATATATATATATATATATATAATATATATATATATATATAATATATATATAATATATATATATATATATATATATATATACATACACCGGCGATAGACAATACCGCGACAATTAGGAAATAACGGCGACAGCGAAAGAGGGAAAAATTGCGGTTTATTTTTCAACTATTAGCGGCGACATTGTCGCCGGTATTGGTTTTGCGCTATTGATTAAACGAGACGGACGGCCCCAGCCCTTGGATTGTAGACAGATCGAACGGACAGGGTTTGAAAGAACAGCTTGACGCGGATCGTGGTTTTCCAGGCATTGCCGGCGACACTTTTACCGGCAACAATGATTTTTTGCAGCGACATAAGCTAAAGTCACCGCTAAAAGTCATTGTCGCCGATAAAAGTGTCGCCGGCAATGACGTGATTTCTTGTAGTGTCTGCCCTATCTTAGATAAACTTGCACCAACCTTTCCAAGTTAAATCTCTATTAAACTCGATGTTAATCTAGTGATTAAGACATTATTTTCAACAAATGGCCGGTCTTAATTGAAACTCTTTACTTTTTTTATCCGAGACATTTGTTCTGTTAACAAAGATGCATCGATCAAATCTTGAAGTTCGTTAAAAGCCCCGCCCCAATCCCTTACTTTAACTTGCTTCCTTCAAATTCACTCCATCTTCCATTCAACTTTTCAAAAGCATGATTCTTGCCATCTTATGTTTGATATGCCTATTAATGTCTTCAGTACATTAGAATTAGTCATCCGAAACCTTGTAAACTATCATTTGTTATTACATAAAGTTCAGATTAAAAAACGATATTTTAAGACATTGAAAGCGTTGTCATATTCACTGGTACGTAGGTACATCAAATGAAAAACCCAACATCTTAAGCTAAGAATAAAAATGATCCTTCTTTCATATTACATGTAATATTTGGCATTCTTAGAATCAAGATGAATTATCAAGATTCTAAGATGTGATAAGATCTTTCTTCCCAGAATGATGCTTAAAAATCCCTTTCCATGCCTTCGTGTGGTTGTTCTTCACCTTCTCGATCTCTCTCTCATTCAATGTAACTCGACATGATGATGACCCCATGCCATCTCCACAAGTTAATTCTGGTGGATCATACTTCTTGAAAACAAATTTATCTTTAGTTGACTTATCTGATAAGTCAATCTTCAAATCAATGAACTCTGAATCATCATCATCATCATCATCATCATCCATTCTAATGAAATCAGAATCTTTTACAGAAAACCCACTTTCGAAATCAATCGATCCACCTCTAAAACCACTCATTCGTGACTCAGATTGATTAAAGTCCGAAACTTTTGCAGTTGAACAAGCCATGCTTCCAACCTCATGGCCAAAATTTCCATCCATGAAGCTACTGAGAGACCTGGATCTTGACACATCCATTACACAAACCTCCCTTACATGATCAAATCCACCTCTATTATTTCTCTCACTACACCTCTCTTTCTCTCTCTTCTTCTTAAAAATCTTCCCAATTCTCCAAAAGCTATTGCTTTTCTTGACCTCAACAACACAACTACTGCTCCTCTTGAGAAAAACAACATCATCTGTCTCTGTTTCAATCATGCTGATCTGGTTCATGTGTGACAATAGTGTTTTCTTCTCGTCACCATTACAACCCTTCTCATTCTCTATGAAAAACGACAATCTCCCAACACTTCCCACACCCATAGTGCAAGATGAGTTCCTGTATGAAGACACATCGGAGCAAGAACAAGAGGAGAGCCTCTGTTCCCCACAATCTGAACAAACAAGATTCATCAGCTTCTCCTTGAGGCAGTATGGACAGACTCCAACAGATGATGAATTAAACGGGTGTTTCTTACATGGAAGATCTGATGACGATGAGAAATAGTTGGAACTTGAGAAGAAATTGGTGTTTTCGTGCTGTGATTCCACAGACTTTCCTCTCTCCTTCATGGGTATAATTCTAAAGTCGTGATTGTGGAATTTGGGTTGGTTAAACAGATGGGTTGTCAAGAAAAAACTTCAATTTGCATTGAAATTTGGTAGGAATCGGAATTGGTATCTCCTAAGAGCTGCAATGACTATTTGTAGGTAGATTCGGACTTCGGAGGGTGAAGCTTTAAAAAAAGATACAATGAGCGATGCAAGAGAGAAATGGCTCATGCCGCCATAATTACAACGGTTTATTTATTTATTTTTTATTTCAAAAGTGTTTTACTTTAATAGATTTTAAAAACGAAAATTATTCAGCTCTATTTTGTTAATTATTTATATTGCGTGATCTAATCTGTAAGGTAAGGGATCTATTTATTTAATATGGAAAAATGTATAAACGAGACCCACACTTATTGTTGCGACCTCGAAGGTATTATTAAATTTCATATACATTTTCTTTTTAAATATTAAATTAAACATTAAATATTTAGGATGGTTTGATAGTTGCTAATTGAGTTAGAGCTGATTGGTTTAGATTTTAGAAGTTAACTAGGCTAGAAGTTCTGACTGAGTTAACTTCTGACTAAAAATGATTATATTAACTTCAAACAATATTTTTTTATAGTAATTCCTTGGGTCGGTTCTTGATACACACATGAAAACATAAAAATTGATTCGACATTTAGAACCAAACATATACATAATATTTTTATACCCAAAATACTCATCTTCATCACGATGTCATAAATAACAAAACAAATCAACAACACAGCAACAAAACGACAAAACATACATGATTTTTTATGCCCAAAATACCCCTTCTCAATATAGCATCCAAAATATATGATAATTCCTATGAACAAGAAAATCTACAATACAAAAATACCCACCCCTCCCCGGGTGGTCTTTCTCTGTGTTTCGTTTAGTAGAATTAACTCTTTCTTATTGTGTTGTATAATATCATGTCTTTTCTTGCTTACATAAATCGGGTTTTTCCTCCATTTCTACTTCTATGTTCTCTACATTCCGTAGGCTTTAAAGAGTCACTTTCACCCTCTTGTGTACTTGTATTGCAATTCACCAACACTTGTTAAGAAAAATCAAATTTTTACTTAAAACATCCAATTGTTTCTTCCGTGTGAACCAAGTGGTCTTGATTTGTGTTTCTTATCACGTAGATGTTGTTGTTGCTCATCATCATATTATAACAACTCACCAGTTACACAATAATTTCATCACAACAATTTTCGACTTTTAAGTGGATGATTTCGATAACACGTACACAACAATCTCAGTCCAACGATTGAAAAAGATGAATGAAAGCAAATCGTAAGTAAAAGAAGATTGCAATAGTGTGGAGAAAAAAAAAAGAGTGTGGTTGATTTATCGGGCCTAAGAAAGGAGGAAGAAAATATGACGAACGAAAGAGGTGATGTAGAGGCTGAGGAAAATTTACACAACAATCTTCTGTTCTTGAGTTGCGGTGGGTAGGACAAAAGGGGCATATTGATTTTTGTTCTCAGTCCTTGCCATTTCACTTGTGGACCGAGTTAGATGAAATCATTGGATCAAGCCTTTACTTGTGGACCGAGTCTAAGCTTTTAAATGTCATAACAAATATGTTGAATAAGATTTTTGGACCCATTCGATACTTAAATCAAACATACCCTTAGAGTTTTAGATATTTTTTCTTCACAAAATATTAAAGTTCAAAATTTATATTAATATGGCATTAACTTTACGTATTATCTGTTATTTTTTTATATAAAAATTACATATTGTTTATGAGAAAGAGAAAATTTCCATATGCGGATAACATGGTTTTTCATTGGAATTCTTCTAGAAATAACACTTTGAACATAATTTGGATTAGATGCATCTATATATCTTTCGGGGCTTTAAAGTCAATCTTTAGAAAACCAAGGTGATGAGCAATAGAGTTAGCAGTTATTATATTACAAACATAGCTACTTGGCTTAATTGTTGGAGAAGGTTTCGCCTTGTTTAATTACCTTGGTGTCCCGGGAGGGGGGAGGGGGGTTCAAAAATAACTAGACACTCTAGTTGGTTGCCTTTGATTGAACATTTTCAACCAAAAATATCCTTTTGGAAAGCATGAAACCTCTCGTTTGAGGTTCATTTAATATTATGCAAGGTCATCCTTGATAGTTTAGGCACATACTTATTCTCCTTCTACAAAGTCCATAGTACCATGACTAAACTACTACACTTTGGTATTTCCCGTAATTGACTATTCTCATTGATTTACAAATATAAATACATAATACATGAGATAAATGGGCTACATAAATACACGGGCTAACTATCTAAGTGGGCTAATAGAATGCAAATACACTGAATAATATACATACACTAATACGCCCTCGTGGTTTGAGCGGGAGGTTTTGACTGAACATTCAAACTGGACCGAAAATCCATGAAGATAGATGTGGGGAGCCCCTTGGTGAAGATATTTGCATACTGAAGACTAGAGGGGACATGAAGAACACGTATTTGACCAGTAGCAACTTTGTCATGCACAGAATAAATGTACATATCGATGTGTTTGGTGCGTTGGTGTTGAACAGGATTAGTAGACAAATAAACATCAATGACATTGTCATAATAAACAATAGTTTCCTTGAGGAGGGACGTGTGTAACTGTCGAAGTAGATTACGTAACCAACAAGTTTCTACTATGGCATTGGCGACACCTCTGTACTCGGCTTCCGCACTAGATTGGGAAATAGTTTGTTGATGTTTGGAAGACTAGGATAGTAGATTGTCGCCTAGGAAGATACAATAGCCACTGGTGGATCGTCTCGTGGCAGGACATCCTCCCCAATCTGCATCAGAATACGCAATGAGCCCAGTAATGGAGGAAGGATGATTTTGTAGCCCAAGGTCAAGAGTACCGCGAACATATTGTAAAATTCTCTTTAGAGCATACATGTATGGTTCTCGAGAGTCGTGCATAAATAGGCAAATCTGTTATATTGTATATGTCAAATCAGGGCGTGTGAAAGTAATGTATTACAGACCACCTTCCAAGCTGCGGTACAGAGTAGGATCTGTAACTGGAGTGCATGTAGGATCCAATTTACACTGAGTATCAGCTGGAGTGCGACACATGTTACAATTCATCACATTTTCCCATTCTATGATGTCCAAGGCATATTGTCGTTGAGACAAGAAAATTCCCTTGTTATCTTGTGTTGCAACTATGCCTAAAAAATAAGATACGTTGCCCACGTCATTCATGGTGAACTCAGAAGCCGTGAGAGAGAGATAATATAGTGTAACATGGGTGTAGACGAGGTTGTAAGAATGATATCATCAACATATAATAGCAAGTATGCGACCTCTGATCCCCTGCAAAACCTGAACAATGAAGAGTCGCATAATAAAACCAATGTGAGTGATATAACTGGAAAATCATTGACACCATGCCCTAGGAGCCTGTTTCAGACCATATAATAAGCACTGTAAGCGACAAACATAATATGGATGCTGAGTATCTCGAAATCTGGGAGGTTGATGTATATACACTATTTCATTTAGTTGGTCGTGTAAAAAAGCATTCTTGACATCTAGTTGATGAATGGGCGAGTTTCATGATATAGCAAGGCTTAAGACAGTACGTATCGTGCCCGGTTTGACAACTGGATTGAATGTCTCATCACAATCAATCCATGGTCATTGGATTTTACCATTTGCAACTAATCGAGCCTTATATCTCTCTAAAGATCCAGTTGTCTTATATTTTTTTCGGAATAACCACATAGAATGGACAATATTATCCCTGGGAGGCCTTGGTAAAAGAACCCATGTATTGCTCTCAATCAAAGCATGAAATTCATCTTTCATGGAAATGGTCCAATTGGGGTCTTGAAGGGCCTGGAGGTGGGATTGAGGTAGAGGTGATTCGGTAGTGGTGTGAAGATTAAGGCGTGTGTTGGGTTTGAAAGTACCAACACGAGAGCGGGTGACCATCGGGTGAGATGAGTTGGTGACCGAGGGAGGAAGAGGGGGTTCGAGGCTGTTTGGGTGAGAGGGACCGGGAGATGGTGGATCATGAAACGAATCCTCGGAAGAAAAGGATGTCGGTGAGGTATAGTTGGAAGCATCCGAAGATGGTTCAAGAGGTGGGCTCTCGGAAGTAAGAAGGTCACGAGAGATAGGAGAGGGGGTCGTGTCAGTATCAAGAAACGTATTTGAAGGAGCATGATTTGGTGTCATGGCACGAAAAGGGAAAACATCTTCTTTGAATATAACATGAAGGGATATTATAATTTTTCGAGTGGCAAGGTCAAAGCATTGGAAACCACAGTGGTGAGATGGATAACCAAGAAAAATGCACGGGGTGGAGCGCGGGGGGGGGGGGGGAGTTTGTGAGGAGTGGGGATGTGAGGGTAGCATAGGCATCCGAAAACACGAAGATAAGTAAATGTGTGAGGTTTATGGAATAGTCTTTTGTAAGGAATGTCATTTTGAATGGAAGTAGAGGGGGTGATATTAAGAAGATGTGTTGCCATGTGCAAAGCTTCAAGCCAATATGTAGGAGGTAAGTGAGCTTGAAAGATGAGAGTACAATAAGGTTGTTAATTGTACGAATCATACGTTCCGACTTCCCGTTTCGTTGGGATGTACAAGGACAAGAAAAAATAAATTTGATGCCATTTTGGTCAAATAGGGTATGAAACTGTATATTATCGAACTCACCACCATGGTCACATTGGAATGCATGTATATCATATTTGAATTGGTTTTGAACAATATCACGAAAATGTAAGAATTCGTTAAACACATCATATTTGTCACGAATGGAATAAACCCAAAGAAAGTGAGAGTAATGATCTAAAAATAATACATAATCGTTGTTTATATCACTGGTGCTAAAAATAGGTGATTGCCACAAATCATAGTGCATAATTTTGAAAGGTTGAGATACAATAGAGTTAGAACTAGAAAAAGGTAATCTGATATATTTGGCAAGTTGACAAGCTTGACAACTAACT